TTTTGTCGAACTAAATTAACAAACGTAGAATTATGTGGCGATTGTTGTTTCATAATCAATTATCGCTTAGAGGTGATTTTGTAGAGTCAAAAAACAAAAGCATGAACCTTAGTACCTTGTTAATTTTCGACATCACTTTCTACAAATAGTACAATGTCATGGAAATCATTAAGATCTGCAGCCAAATCGCATTATCATGACAATCATGCTGTAGATACCGTAGCCATTGTTGTGGGTAACGGTGCAGACGTTGTCACGTGCTGACGGTCATGATTTGCTAAGTTATTGTCATTAACACTACACATAACGGCCCATATTTTACTACAATAAATACTTAAGCTAACTTTGCACATAATCTCTGTAAACGCTTTAAGTATTACTCATTTTTAACTCTGTAGACTTCACGGTCAAAAGAGAATGTTTTCACGTGTCACATTTTAATGCGTTGATTCTACTGATTGATTTTATATCTTCACTTTTTATCTGTTAACACACTGTTAGATGTTACACCTGTTGAAACTTTGCTTCAAAACACAGATAGACGTTCGAAATCACCTTAATCTTAAGATATTGGTCGGCACTTTTGGCTGTTCTGGCCGTACTTGCTTATAATTTTATGGTCTACATAAAGCGATTCGCAATGTCGATCGGGTTTGGTGTTGACTTTCGCGAATAAATGTAAAATTGTTTTTCTTAGTAACATTTTGACTGGTAAATGAAATAATTTAATTGTCATATGTATTAAATATAAAATAACTCCTAACACGATCCAGACATTAATTGATTATTTCAAATCGATGTGCCTGCGTGTTTTGACTGAGATAGTATGTCATGGTTCTGTTTTCATATAAAATTGTTTGCACACTTGTGCGTTCAATTCTCAGTGTTATCAATCATAGAGATTCAAATACAACACAATGGATCTCGATGAAAGACCTTTTGAGTAAAGCATATTCTATGTATAAAATTAGATTTATCGTATAAAAAGTATTTCATCATCATCAACCTATTTTATACGTCCCGCTGCTAGTCATGGGCTGCCTCTCAGGTGAGACACACTTCTCACATGTTTTCCGAGGGTTGTGAATTCTTCGACGTGCAAGTTTCATCACGATAATTTCCTTTAACGAAAAGCTTATAGTAAATTTCGCACGTAAGTTCCGAAACTATCAGAGGTGCGAGGCTGCATTCGAATTCACGGCCTCTACCTACTTGAGAGGCAGTAGGTCAAACCATTAGGTGGAAATTATAAATTAAAATTAGATAACGTAATAACTCAACTCTATACCTACTGTATGTTTTTTTCATGTTATTACGATAGTAAGGCGAAATTCTAGACTTTGGCTGATATAGGTGGCACGTCTAGTTTGACCTTAATTTCAACTGAGTTTTGCGGTATTACTAGGCTTGTGCCGGTGTTAGTTTTATAAGAATATTATAAAAATGATAGCGATCACCGCCAATGTCAGTTTTTCGAGAGCTTTTCCCGTTTGCGGTAACGGTTCAATGTCGAAAGTGTAAAGTTTTTTTTAATATTAATTTTACGGCATCGGAATAAATCCATCAAGCCAAATCTTCAACCATTTCTTTCAAATATTTTTAAATACTGTGTGTTTGACAGTACCATTCGGTCGTTTCTTTGTTATATTATATTAATCTATTTTTAACCCCCAACGCAATAAGAGGGGAGTTACAACTTTGGAATATTTGTTATGGTAATCGTTTTGGTGTACTTAAATTTTTAGTCAAAAGTGAGCTTTTTCCATGAAAATAATATTGATAATAATAACAATAACGCACACACTCAACATAGCTCCGCGCTAGGGAAACTCTGTGTCGCGGGCATAGATTTAAATATATGGTCGCAGGTGCCATGGACACACACATAGACAACCACAAATTACACCCAAACTCACGAGATAAATAAACGTAGGCCATACAAATATTTCTCCCGACCCGGCAAGTTACTAGTGTTTTCCTGAAATGAGTTTGTACAACAAAATGAAGTCTACTTGGAATGTTTAATAGAGCAATACTTATTTAGAATTGTTGTATGAAAAATATTTTATTAAATTTGGCTAACTGTACCTGTACTTTCAATTCAACGGATTAGTAGTATATTATTATCACATGGAACTGAGTCAATTTACAACTCACCTTCGATATAACAGACGATATTACATTAAAATTATCCTTATGGTACCTTATACAGTGTCACTGTAACTGGTGAAGTTTGGAATTTCACCACAATATACTAGTTAAAACTGTATAGAATTGCTGATACCTCAATAATATTATAGTACACAAAACACTTAACGTTCGGACACATTATGCTAAAGGTTTTGTATGAAAACAGGAACTGTAACAGATAAAACCATTCCATCTTTTAGTCTCTGAAGCAGAACGACCGGATGCTGATGTTTATACACGTTCCATTTCTACGAGATTTATAAAAATAGCCATCGATTTCAGCTTATAATCTTGAAGGTGAGATGTAAAACAAATAAAAAACAAAGCGTAGAAAATGTCAGACAAACAAGTTGTGTTAAAAGTTTATAGCCGACCAAGTGTGTGAAGGGTTTTTAAGTCGATGGAATTATTATTAAAGAAGTAATATTCTGGTATAACTGTTTGAATCCACTTAATTTTACAGCACGAGGCTATAATGAAGGGTTTCACTATATCTCATGTCATTATGGTCTCAGGTGATTCACTGATGAAGATTTGATTTACTTTGAAAAAAAAGCAATCAAAAAAGTTTCAAGCTATATAAGCGGTTACACACCTCGACTTTTAGCAGCGATACAAACGCAAAAATCCCAAGTGTAGCGATGCAATCGCACGTTTGTATCGATGCAGTCGCGCGTTTGCATCGATGCGATCGCCTATAAATCGCAAGTAAAGCGATGCAATCGCGCGTTTGTATCAATGCAGTCGCGCGTTTGCAACGATGCGATCGCCTATAAATCGCAAGTGAAGCGATGCAATCGCGCGTTTGTATCGATGCAGTCGCGCGTTTGCATCGATGCGATCGCCTATAAATCGCAAGTGTAGCGATGAAATCGCGCGTTTGTATCGATGCAGTCGCGCGTTTGCATCGATGCCATCGCCTATAAATCGCAAGTGAAGCGATGCAATCGCGCGTTTCACGAACGCGCGTTTGCATCGCTACTAAAAGTCACCGTGTGTAATCCTCTCAGGTTTTATTTTGACTGCTCTTGTAAAAGTCACCGTGTATAATCCTCTCAGGTTTTATTTTGACTGCTCTTGTAAAAATGTTCTCTTGACCGCTATGCTTCTAATAAAACTACCTAAACATTATACATGCAGACGATAGTTTAGTACATGAGAAAAAAAAAAGAATTTGGCGGGTTTCTGTAGCTACAATCTCTATTCGGATAATTTTTAGTTTAAGAGTAATTGATACAAGTTTTAATCGAAGAAAAATTGAAATCTAAAATCTGGCAATACGGCAACGTCTTAGCTTGTCCCGAAAGAAAAAAAAATACAACTTGTACTTAAGTAATTTGTACGTCGCTAAACCATTGTACTCCTAAGTCTTTTTTAAGTATTCTAACGTGCGATGTTACATGAGAATGCAATGCCAAATATTTCCGGTGCCACTTGACGCCTGCCACTGAGGGGAATGCTCGAGCCTCTGCATTATAATTTATACAATAATTATTGCGTGTTTGAACAAATGTCAATGGTTTAATATCCAGGGTTTAATGGTGTTGACTAATGTCATTGTCATTTTTCTTTGTTTTTGTATTTCTTTGTAATTGTTCAATGTTATCTATTCAATCAAAAGTTGAATTTCATAAGTTCATTCAACGTTATCAACGTAAAGACTGAATTTAGTAGACTGAAGTCTTTGGGTTCATTATATTTTTTACTGGTAAAGATAATTCGCAAAAATTATACGAGTATAAACTATTAAAATCATTAGATCATGTTATTGTTTTTTTAGAATCTTAAGTCCTCAAACACTTTAGCTTTAAACATGTTATTGTTTCTGTTCGAATAAAAATATGTCGTAGGCGTAGAAACATGTTGATCCGAATTTATAAGCAATAGAAGTCACATAATTAAATCGTAAAGAAGGGAAAATAAGAATAATATAACCTTGAAAATTGAAAATTTTTACAATCGAACATTATCGTCACATTATTATTGCAATTAAATAAAACATGGGAAATCCTCAAAATTAAGTGATTAATAGTAGTACTTAGTATCATAAATATAATGATCACGGTATAAAGCGAAGAAATGCAGCGTTTATCTGAGAAATTGTAAAGTAGGGTATTGTCCACTTTTTATTTAATTACCGTTGCGAGTCGTGAGAAACTTTCTTGAGAGCTAATGATGGATACCAATCAAAATGACTGTTGTTACGGCATTATGAACATATATACACATTAATGCGAATTTTAGGCCTGTTGCTTCTTTTGACGTTACAATAAATAACATCACTAAGAGCTTTAAAGAATTTAAAAGTTGAAATAGATCTACCCACTCCTACAAAGTAGTATTTTATTGTTGAAACGCATTTGTTTTGACGATTTATCGCGCGTTATTGGATTATTCAATGATGTTTATTTATTATTGCATTATAATTTATTGATATCAGAAAGCGGGGCCAAATTGATTCACATTCCAATGTATTGTTTTAAAGTTTTTAAATTAATAATTTAAACACGTATTTATAATCGAGTTCCGAGGTTTTCGCGATTGTTACACATAGGAAAATGAAACTATTTTTCCGGATTTAAATCGCGTATATTTATTTTTTCGGACCTTTTACAGGTGCTCTATGGTCAAAGCCTGGTTAAGGTCATAATTTCATTTCCTACCTATTTATAATCGTTTTCGAAATGTTGAACGCCTTGATAACATCTTATATTTCTATGGCCTATCTATTACTGTCTTAAATACAAACTTTTATCTATTAAATACTATAACAATAGTTGTTCCTAAAAATGTTTTCTTTTTGTACACAGTTATCAGAAGAAGTCCAAAGAAAACAGAGCGAATACCAGAAGTGCTTGGAGTCATACAAGCAGATGAGGGCGAAGTTCGAAGAGAACTATCTTAAATGTAAGTGTAAGTTAGATCATTCATGTCTTTAATCATCTTTTTCTTCTACACGAAGCCACACAAGACAGAGTCATCCTCAACATATACCTACAATATTCATTCAATTTTATTTAATTTATAATTTTTTATCGGCTCATAATTATAAGTATAGGGCGTCATTTACACATTGCTTGTTTTACTTTATACAGTTAACACTTTGTCTTCTCTGTTCTTCTCATTCTTATATACTATTTCATCTTTTTAAGTTATTTTTAAAATGATGGCAAGTACTTCCGCTCTCGTTATGTTTTAAAATTTCCGCACGGTACCTGTAACGATGACCCCCGTGGTTGAGTGGCTTGCTCACCGATTTTCAAGGTGTCGCCATCTCTGAGGTAGGTAGGTACCGGGTCCAATTCCTGGCCACAACCACAACGAGAAAAATTAACTTATCTATATTGTCTCGGGTCCGCGTGTTTGTGGTACCGTCGTGTTTTCCGATTTCCATAACACAATTATTTTCGTTACTTACTTTGGTATAAGAACAACGTTTTTTTATATATCAAACGACGGGACGAACAAGTCGTACGCCTGCTGCCTGTGTGTAAGCTACACGCCTGTCCATAACAATTGCAGTGCCACTCAGAGCTTTAAATCGCAAAGATCTGAGAGGCACTGCCACTGCGCCCATCACCCTGAGACATAAGTTGACAAGTCCCCTGTGCCTGTAATTTCGCCAGCATCCTTACCCTTCAAAACCGGAACACAGTAATGCTGACATTACTGCTTGGCGGCAGAAATAGGTAAGGTGGCACCACTTCCCTGGACGAACTCTTTCACAAGGTACTCTACTGCAACTAAATCTACTCTATGTGATGTTACTTAATATTAATTAATAATTTACATACGTCATTTTGTATTTATTCTAATATGTGGTATCGTAACCTTGTCGATTAGCTTTTCACAGACTGTCTTAAGATATTTGGTTTTTATAGAATACCTATCTAAATAGTAATTTCATAGATAGTTAACAGTTGCGGTATTATGTTCCAGGTCCAACGAGCAGAGGAGGTCGCAAGTTGGACGAGACGAGGGACAAATATGGAAAGGCGTGTCGACGACTGCACCGGGCTCACAATGAATATGTCCTGCTTCTGGCAGAGGCGACGGAGTGTGAACGAGCGTTACGTAGTGCCGCGTTACCAGCATTATGGGATCATCAAAGACGCCAAGGAGAAGCCACGCATGCTTCTTGGTTAGTATACATTTGTCAGAGTAACTTTGGCGCACAAGTTTCGAGCTTTGCGCTAGAATGATCCCCGATCTTCTATATAATGCATAAAAGAGGACGTACACTGGAGAGATGGGTGGCTTCGTGAGTATAAAGTAAATGTCAAGGAGCTCCTTCAAGAATGTACATTTCTGAAGACAAATCATATAACAATTGGAATAGATATAATTAGACAGAACTTTATAAGGAATATGTTTTAAGTAACTCTCAGAGAAGCATCGGAATGTGTACAAGTAGCAAGCGAATTTTAGTAACTGTGACATCATTGTTCTTCTGCTATTGAAATTTTCAGTACATTTAAGAAACATTAAATCTAGTCGAAAAACAAACATCGTCAGTTACCTTTAAAAGCGAAAACCACCAATATCAAGAACTGCAAGGATGTTATAAGAAATAAAAGAGAATGACATAAGTAAATGGTTGAAATCATCATTATTCTAATGAATCGACACGTGTATTTTTTAGTAAATGTAGGCTATGCCAGGTTAGGTTAAAATTGCAAATTCATCGATTTATTAATGTGAGTCATAAAACATACATATTTTCCGTGTGTAAATCTAACTGTTTTGTATTTTTATTCAACAGGAAAGGGATTCTATTGGAAATAGTGCAGAGGTCGGACTTCGGTACGGAAAAGTTTAAAGAAATCCAAACCAAAATGGACAACGCAGTCCAGAACTTAAAACCTCAGGAAGAATACAAAGAATTTGTAGAAAAATACAAGTGAGTAACAACAGAATAGTAATATGGTACAATTGATTATCAAGAGAGAAATCTGATATTCTTCGTGACAAATAATCGAGAGTTGGTATAAAACCAACACTAGGTATATAATTATAATTATGACATGGGTGTCCTATAACAAGAGTAATGACAATATAATATTTGTTTATATGATTGATTAGTAAAAACATATATCGACACCGGAAAGATAAAACGTCTAACGTGCATTTCAAAAATATTGCAGGAGAGCGATTTAAAGTATTTTTTTTAAGAAAAAAAAATCAAATTTCTTATTTTATTTGTTAGATGGAAAATTAGAAAGTTTCAGCCTTTCATTATAACAAATAAAATTAGAGTTATGACACTCGTGACGTAATCGTATGCCATTCTTGAAAATATAATTGAAGAAAATACATCACACGTAGTTTGTCCAAAAATTATGTATGTATAGTACAGCAGACACACGTAGCGCAAAAATTATTTGATTAGAATCCTAAATCATTACAGATCACCCCCCTCCACGCCAGTCTCGTTCACATTCGACGAGAGTCTAGTCGAAGACACGAGCGGAAAGCTGCAGCCGAACCAACTAACTGTCGACAATCTCACAGTGGAATGGCTGAAGGAGAAACTCATAGAACTAGAATCAACGTTACAAGACAACAGGGAGAAGCAGATAGCGCTGCAAGGACCGGAAATCATCGGGAATGGGGTCTGCAAAAATAATAACACCGGATTAACTAATGGTGTTAATGGGATCGATAGGTGAGATGAAACTCTGTTTGAATGTACATATAGCATTTGTGATAGAGTACAATGGAATTAATTGTTTTTGTGATATTACCTAGAAAAGACAGAGAAGGTGAAACTTCTGCAAATTAAAATGAATGTAAAACCTACCTTTTCATCCAATATTAAGTATAGTTAGTTACACTTGGGTTCCTACTTTCCCATACATAATGCCCTGTATGTTAGCACTTCACGACCAAAAAATGTCGAAATTAATGTGACGAGAATCTAAGAATTCTGTTTCATTTTTGCCAGGCATTCACCTCCGCCTATTCCAGTAACTACGTCAGAACCTATAAAGTTGTTAGAGCTGAAGATTGCTGAACGCAAGTGTGCAAAGCAAGCAGAGATGATCAGGTCAGCGTTAGCAGAATTAGGATGTGAGGAGGCGCCTAGCGGTTGTCCGGATCTCTCCACCGAGACCGTGGGCGTTGACAGCCTCGATGGTAGCTCGCCTGATCACCAGGTACGTTGCAGTGTATAGGAGCGTGAAATTAGATGTAATGATTTATGATGGTTGAAAAAAATAGGAAAGTTTATGTTGATAGAGGTGATTTATCAGCCTCTATGTGGATTTTATGATGGATGTAGCATTAAATCTACCAGGAACGCTCATCGATTGGATCGAAGGCGTCAGTGAACACGTTGCGCTTGCACCTACACTCCATAATACCGCCGAAACCGTTCTTTCGACTTTTTACGCGACCATTCCGCCGCAAGTCCGTGCCTTCGAGCCCAGCGCTACCGCCAAAGACTTACCGGAGCAGTAGCGAAGGCCCATCTGACTCGGTAAAGGTCGTCAGGACACTTCGCAAAAAGCGGATTATCATCTTAAAGCGCCGCTTGCGAAAACGTTTGGATGTCTATGTGCATTGCCGTGTGGAACGATCTGGCGTTTTTCGGAAAAAGAGACGTAGCGATGTTAGTTCTAACAGTGTGGTGAGTGCCGCTAACCGCAGATGAAAATGATAAAACCCACGCATGGCATGGACGCATGAAGCTTTCGCATTATATCACGCGTGTCACACAAACCGCAGGAATTTAATTTTTAAAGATCTCCTTGGCCTACTCGGTTGATTTTGAGAATACCACGAGCAAAGTGTAGAAATTCAGGTCATGTATCCCCTAGATCACATGGAAATTTATTGCACCTAATTACCATTAGCCTACCGGCTTGTCTGAAAACAATACGGGCACTCTACGAGGCACTACCGTGATTCAAATAAGCTATGTGCAGTGAATTGAGCGTTATTACGATGTAACACTGCTAATTTTAGCGCGCATCCGAAGCACCCGAACTTCGCGCCGGAACACGCTTCAAATAAAATTAAAATAGCTCTGGCTCTCCCTAAAACTCAGTTTCAAAATCAAGGTGAAGCCGCTTGCGACGTTCCTGAAATGTTTAGCTGTTTGCGTGTCGCCAGTAAACGTGTCGGTTGTGTTTGCGTCAAGTTCATCCTGTTTTTCTTCTGTTCTTTTGCGTTGAAGTGAGATAATAAAACAATTATAATGATTTATTAGCTATAGTCGCAATATTCTAGCTAAACGATGGATCCGTTTTCGATGTACATAACACATTCGGAGCTGCCCCCGCCGGTGATAGTGCCCCGCAGGAAGAAGCGGCTGAAACAACTGCAACTTGAGTTACAAAATGAACTCGTACGTTTACAATGCTTTTGATAATCGTTTTTATGTCTAATATGTTTTGTTCCGTAATTAGTTATCGGGAGTGACGTGTCTGCATGTAATTTTGTGTAATAATTGATTTTAAATTAGAGTTTGGTTTTAGTTCAACCTTTAACTGTTCAGTACTATCAACATTATTAGATACTAATTTGTGATTTGAAAAATATTTAACCCACTGTCCATGCGCACATACCTGTTGTATATGTAAAACGAACACGTTGGAAAATAGCTGAAAATATCATTCTCACTTTTTTAATACTCCACAGGTCAGTGTGAGTGAAACAGAACGCTCACTGGTCGAACAGGAATGGTTCCATGGCGTCCTGCCGCGAGAGGAGGTGGTGAGATTGCTTCGCGCCGACGGCGACTATTTAGTTCGGGAAACTACCAGGAATCATGCCCGACAACTCGTGCTATCCGTTTGTTGGGGACAGCATAAGCATTTCATTGTACAGACTACGCCTGAGGTGAGCAGTGACTTAAATCTAAAGATTATTTCGGTTAGAAGCGTCTTAAGGTTGGTACAAGCCTTCTAAGAAACCTTTAGGTACAGTTAACCCTTTTAGAACCGTTTTTAGATACTAAAAGCACACGAGCTACACCACACCTGGCCACAGCGCCTATCAGCAATATTTATTGTAGGCACGTATATAATAACAAGAAGATATCATGTCTATCAGTAAACCTTTTTGACCATAGAACTGGTCATTCCAGGGCCATTATCGTTTCGAAGGGGCAGCATTTCCGACAGTCGCGGAGCTGATAGCATGGCAGCGAACAAGCGGAGTCCCAGTCACTGCGCGCTCTGGCGCTTTGTTGCGGAGAGCTGTACCAAGAGAAACGTGGGAATTGAACAACGATGATGTCCAGTTGTTGGATAAGATCGGCCGGGTTCGTACTTGATATTTTGAATTACTTAAAAAGGAACCATGTTTATATTTCATTACGAGTGAAGTAAAATTAACCTAGACATGAAAATTCTTAAAACATACATAATTATTTATTGTAATTTTTTGTGAAATAACTCCACTAGTTTAGCTATGAATATGAATGCCAAAAATTAAATAGCGGCGACAATTATGAATACGAATGGCAAAAGTGAAATAGCGGCGACGAATGCCGAAAGTCTACAAAGATCTATAACAAAAAACACATAGGAGAATTTCGACGGCTCGGTAACTGGACCCGTATCTCAGTTGGTAAAGAGCAATGCTACGGTGCAGCATGGACGTCCCTACGGGTCAACGAGAAAAAAAAATTTTTTTGTGAATCTTTTTAAATCATTATGTTTGAATTTAAGGATTAACCGTAAATATATTTATGACATGTTTTGTGTACAGGGTAACTTCGGAGACGTGTACAAAGCGCGACTAAAAACAACAGGTCAAGAAGTAGCAGTCAAAACCTGTCGAGTGGCATTACCAGAAGAACAAAAACGGACTTTCCTGCAAGAAGGCAGGATACTTAAACAGTACCAGCATCCCAATATAGTGAGGTTGATCGGTATTGCGGTACAGAAACAACCAATCATGATAGTGATGGAGCTCGTGTCAGGTGGGTAGAATCTAATGACGCCACGGACGTATTTTCAGCAAATCTCGCTAGATTGTTACATATAAATGAAAAACGTGGGTGTAACACTGTAGGTTGTGTTAACTGAAACTATGCGTGTAAACGATCATAAACTGAGCTACATAAATGTTTGGGTTGGCAAATAATGATAAACAGTGAATTTCCTTTAAATTGTAATAAATCGAACACATAATCAGTGTTAAAACTAGCACAGTAATTCTAACATTGTTATGGTTTACTGCGTATTCAAAGGGGCCTGCCACAACTTCGCGTATTTTTTCTTAAATTTATATTTTTTTTAAATTTATATATTTTTTTTTAAATTATTTCGTATGTACTATTAAATAAAAAAAATAAACAAAATATTTAAATCAATGTTAAGATAATAAAACTGAAAATAATATTGTTTGCATTGCATCCGTGTAACTATTTTAAGATTGCAAAATTTGACATAAGAGCAATATTACTTTAATGTTAAAGTCGCGTATAGTACGAACTGATGGAATGAATAGTCACAAAGTTGCCAATAAAACATCATAGTTTTAACATTATAGTAAGTTTACTATAAGCGCGTCATGGTACGAAAAGTCAATGTAAGGTTAAAGTAATATTGTTTTAAGAGGTTGTGGTAGGCGCGCCCCGGCGTTATTACTTTAATATAAATCAAGCCGTAGGAGCTTCCTCCTTCACAGTAGGTAGCCCAAGGGCCGTGAGGCGTAAACTTTGGCAATGCATACTCGCTCTTCCTCTTGATTTTATCACCCTAGCCGAAAGTCTTCCCCCGGCCACGAGTATCATTAGCCAATACGGAAATCCTTGAACCGTCTCAAGTCACAGTTGGCCGATGTAGAGACAACATGGTGAAATGGGGGATATATCACCCGACTCCAAAACTTTGTGCTTGCGGATCCCCCACACAAAGTATATCTCACTTGTTCTCGTACCCACAGTACAGCTGACCCGCGAAGACCTGCGAAAGGCAACAGATAGGGGTGTAGAGGTGGCTGCTTACTGGGCCTAAGAAATATAACACTGGTTTGGTATTGCCTTGGTTTTTGTCTTGACTTGACAAGAAGAGGAAGATTAAATGTTCATCAAAACTTTCAGGTGGTTCCCTGCTTACCTTTCTTCGAACAAGATCAGCGACGCTCAACTCCCGGTCACTATTGGCAATGTGTCGAGACGCGGCCGGTGGAATGCGCTACTTAGAATCCAAAAACTGCATACATCGCGATCTAGCAGCTCGCAACTGTCTGATTGGAGACGATAACATTGTAAAGATATCCGATTTCGGCATGTCCAGAGAGGAAGAGGAATATATTGTATCTGGTGGCATGAAGCAAATACCTATAAAGTGGACTGCGCCAGAGGCTCTTAATTTTGGTAAGAAATAAAATGTATAAATCTGTACTTATGTGTCCAGAGAAGCTAGTAATTATAATATGCCGAAAGAATAGTTTGGTTGAGCTAATTAAGCAATAGCCCCATTACAAATCAGTTATTTTAGTTAAAACTATATCCGTATATTGAGTATAATGATTGAAATTTTGTAACAGGTAAATACACTTCCCTGTGCGATGTATGGAGTTATGGTGTTCTCATGTGGGAGATATTTTCGAAAGGAGACACTCCTTACGCGGGTATGAGCAATTCAAGAGCACGAGAAAAAATTGACACTGGTAATTTGAGTTTTTGTTATCTGGGTTACCTCAATTTGAAAATTTTAGATGGATTTTATGGCGATAATAGTTTTCATAATCATTTTAAAAAATCTTGTCGTATATCTACTATGCTTCCTTGTTTTATAGTTTCTTGCTAATAAAGTCACTTTGGATAACAAACATTAAGTATCTCTTACGGTACAAAATGAAGACAGACATAAAGAGATGGATCAAACCAAATTATTCGTTGTTTTCACAGGCTACAGAATGCCAGCACCAGAAGGATGTCCCGAAGATGTATACGCCTTAATGCTACGATGTTGGGAGTACGAACCGGACAAGAGGCCACATTTCCATCAAATTTATACAATTATTGACAGTATTTACAATAGGTAATATCAAAAGCCAACCTATAATAGTGGACGGAAATTTGTATGTATTAAAGATAAATGTCAGATTTTTTAGTCAGTTTTGGATATTTTCAAGTCTAGATACCAGTAGCTATCTAAAGAAACACTTTAGACCGCGTCACCTTCCGTGGAGAGTTGCCATTTGAAAGTGACATGTATGAAAGGAATGCATTTCTAAATAAAAATTAGTGAAGTGTTATAATCTTAAAAATGAAAACGCCAATTTAACATTAGTCCCATTATTAGTGGTTAGATCGCGTGACTAACAGGGAAATTTAAATATATAATTTGTAAAACAGCCAGAAGATTGTTTTACAATATAGTCTTTTAATAACATACCCATAATTGATAAAAGAAGGTATCTAATTCCACGTTTAACGGAATAACATCGAATCATTTTTTGAAGTCCAAAAAAATAAATTTGTATCAACTTAGATATTTATTTAAATAACGTAATTGATACGTAAATAAAAGAGGTTCAAAGATGTAAAGGAAAACAACACCCGTATGAAATTCAAGGCCATACGCTGTAGCGTCAAACTAGATCAATATTTTTAAAATACAAAAAAGTTCAACAATACAAAAAATTATGCTTATGGTTGGGTGACACATAATAGCGTCCTATTGGCGGCACACTCAAACCAATTACATATTTATGCTCAAGTGGAAATGACTCCAAAAATTAAAAATTTAAGGTAACCCTGTATTCGCGCGTCTATATTGCGTTAGATCAAAGAAGTGTGCAGTTGTGTATAGCCTATATATAGTTGGCGTCACTTCGCGCGAATGCGAGCTAAACTTATTTTAGGAGCATATGATTCTTTCCTTGTCCGCAAGAAAAAGGCAGATTTAATTTAAATTTAGAGCTGACAAATTATTCCGGCTTTAATTTGCTATTCGATACATTTCATGTATTTTGTCTAATTTTAAGAGCATGTCGTCAAAAGTCGATTAATTTCATATCTCTAAACTTAAATCTGAAAAAGTATGTATTTAATTAACTAAAGACTAACGCCATACCTATCAAAATTTAGCCGCGTACTTTCAGCTAACACGGATTGCTATTATGCCATAGATATCATATCTATGACAAAAAACTGCTCTCTGAACTTCGAATACTCTGAAAATCCGCGGTTTAGCTATGGTATGTGTGGTGCTAAGTTTAATTTGCGGCCCCTTGAATTGAATGTTGTTTGGTTGACCTATGTTACAGATAAAGATTCTAGTATTTTTTTTATAGTAATAATCGGATTGCGTCTATAAACGCAGTGTTGATCTCTTACGCATATACGTCTAGCGATTGTGGTTGTGTAATAATTAGCTTAAAAAGTAAAGACTGTAGAGTTCGATTTAGATCGTCACTTTGTTGTCACAACTAATTCGAGTGCTCCGAGGCAAAACCCAATAAGTGTGTGAATTATTATAAAACGAGTTATTTTTTTCTTTTTATTGAGGAACAAACAGTCTCATACAATTATAAAATATAGAGTTATCTAACTCATTGTAGTGTACTTTCATATTCTTTTAATCTAATAAGAAAATTTATGAGTGTAACCATAGTAGGGATAATAGAGTATGGTAACTCCATACAAACGTAGCAGCGCGACTTGTACGTGTGCACGCCCGTCGCGTGCACGGATGCACACTTTCGCGGTGCACTCGCGTTACATAGCACGGGACGTCTCAAGTGCCGTTCATTCTAGAATTGTAGCGTTTGTTTGGTGTTTAAAAAATTACATCAAAAAGTAGAGCGTGTTTATTGTTGTGTTTGTGGTTGTTTGAAAAGGTGCCTCAAAATATTGTTCAGCATTTCACTTCTATTTCGTAATCGTACTTCATAATCAAGAAACCAATTCGCGATGCTGATATAGAAATATCAATACGTAACTACCTACTGCATTTAATAAAGGTTACTTCAATATAGCACGAGATTACTGTGATGAACACCTGAATATTTTCAAATTATGTTACAACTTGTAGGTAAAACTCATGCTCTAAGGCATAGTTTCCCAAAGTGGTCGCAATGGGCGCTGAACAGTCCTAGGGTGGTAGCACCCATAGCCATAGTAGTAGCATTTGAAATAATAAACCTAAATTATCTATACAAAATACACTACATAAGTATATTTTTTCCTTGTGATTTTTTGTGTCAACAAAATTAACGTAATAAATATAACTTCAATTATTTTTGTGTCGGTGAGCGTGGAAATTTTTTTATCTTGCTTATGTAAAACTTGCCGGTGAGCGAAAAAGTTTGGGAACCTATGCTCTAAGGTAAAACTAAAATAATAATATAACAACCCTACGGCCAGTGCGAAGTGTAGGTAGGCATTTAAGCGCCGAACAGGCGGGAGTTGCCCTATTCGCTCTTAATATACTATGGTGTAACGTGCATGAAAGTTATGAAAAGTTGAGTTACATAACAAATTTCACGAAAGTTTACACTGGGTCTTGCCTAGGACCCCTCGATTCATTCTATTGACAACGCAATTAATACTAACTCCATCATATTAGGAGCTAAGAGAACTTTCTCAGTCTTTACGTACTGTTATGGAAGTTTTTATATGTGTGAAGTGTGAGTGTTATAAGAGTACAACCTTAATAAATAGTAATTAATTTGTAAATGTATTGGGTAATAATATTACTGTAAACAGTTATTTCGGGACGTATGTATGATAAATATCCATTTTAAATGTAATTATTCATATTTTTTATATAATTAGGGTGCTTCATATCAACATCGCAGCGGATTTAATATAAGTAAATGAGATGTTTAAAATTGTATTGAAATGTGGCAATTATGGACTTTGTGATATGATATAATTTGTGCTTCCATTGTGTATTTTCTAACAAACAAATGAATAAATAATTTTACTTTGCTTTTTTGTCTTGAATGTAATAAGTTTGTTCTTTACTCGTAAAGTTTGTATAGTCTAAATTTTTGTATACAACAAATTAGTTTCTTGCCTCAGAAATGTGCATGAAATAAATTACTTAGGTTAAGTATAATACAAAGTGAGATATTGTTAGTTTATTGCGTTTAGTTATATATTTGTAGACGTACGAATACGAAGTGACTGTAAATACTTTTTATTACATATTAAAGTGCCAGACAATTTTTGGATTTATTTTTACTTTTTTTTATGATACCAAGTGACGGGACGAACAAGTCGTGCCCCTTCTGGTAAGCGACACGCCTGTCCATAACAGTTACCGTGCCGCTCCGAATGAATAGCTAAAATCTGAGGGCAGTGTCACTGGCTCACTGCGCCCGTTACCATAGACATAACTTGAAAAATTCCGTGTGCCTGTAATTGCATCAGCACCCTTCAAAATCGAAATGCAGTAATGCCGAAATTACGCTTGGGGGTAGAAATAGGTAAGGATTTATTAGACATGAACGGATTACCCCATAGGCTCAATTTATATTGCGGCGGAACGGAATGGAAGCGAATTTTTGTAACGCTATTGTACACAGCATAATGAACTTTATGGTCAATTCTGTAACGTACAAAACGCATTCCGCGGAAGATTTTCACTCGTATCTAGTTTGTACGTTGCACTGTCGACCATAAAGTTCATTATGCTATGTACAATATCGTTACAAAAATTCGCTACAATTAATTGAGCCATATTTCAAAAAATTCAAAGGGATTAGGATTGCTATTTAAACGTACATAATAAAAAAAGCTTTTAAAAATAAAGATAAATTTATTGCTAAAATTTACAAAAATTACAAATACAAATTGATTAATTCATCACTAACAGCTGACGGCGTAAGAATACCTATATCAGTAAACAACAGTGTAATATAAGATGGCGGAGTGTAATCCACCAACGGGTGTTCTTTAGACAAATCCTTACCAGAACTGATCACACTTGACAGATATTTAAATTCGACGGGAATGTCCTGTTGGTTAAGAGGGTATACACGGGAAAACTTGAAGCTTTCTGCTAGTACGTACACTGGTTTCTTCAGTTCAAGAGCTGCCATTGCTAACCCGTATGTGCCGACCTAGAAAGGTAAATATACGCTATCATAGCAATCAGAGGCGGCTCGTCTTAAGGAGCGCTGGTGTAGTGAACTCCCACTCCTATCCAACCCACCAAAATAAATTTATTAATTATGCGTTCATATTATATTAGTAGCCGCAGTATTTTTTTTTATTAATGAATGACAAACACACAATTAGATTTTTATCTTTCTCTTTAATATAGTATAGCAAACTGTCCCTTGAGTGGAGCGCTTTTATGAACCGACATTGTTTACAAAGTTCAGAACTGATTCATTGAGTGCGGAAGAGAAATTTCTTAACGGCGCGACACGTGAAACAAAAGATTAGTATGAGGAAATTTAGCAAGATTCAGAAGCAGTTTTTTTTCGCGCGCATTTTGTTGTGTTGTAAAAATTCTTATTATTCAATCGTTCTTAAGAAGCATAGTGTTTAGTGGCATTGTTTAAAATGGAACACTATAATGTGAGTTTCATTTTTTATTTAAAATATGTATAGGTTAGTGAACTCCCTCTGAAATCTCCCACGAGCCGCCGAGAAATAATCATGAAGGCGGTTGATTTGTCGTAAATTTTACAATACGAAAATATCATGCAATCAAATTGAATTTCACTATAATCCACTATAAATTTTTGATTATATGAATTATGAATATATTATATAATTCGTCCGCCAACCCATTTTGTACGTCCCACTGTTGCGCATGGATCTACTTTCAGACGAGGGTTGAGGACATATTCTCTCGTAGTAGTAGTAGTAGTAGTAGTATATTACAAATTGAAAGTCGGAAAAAGATTCCGAGATATTCAGAGGTGTGAGCCCGGATCCAAACCTACGACCTCTGCTTGAGAGGCTGTAGGTCAAATCATTAAACTATTATGGCTTATATGATATATGATTTATTTATTTTATTTGGGAAAGTGGAAGGCTATGGTCGCTGCCTGCCTCAATCGGAAAAAGGTGTAAAGTGTATGTATATATTTAGTAGAGATGCAACGGAAATGTCACATCGGAAACAGACGTCAAAGTAAATCTTAGCGGAAGCGGAAGTAATTACTATGCAGATTTCAACTAAATAGTTCTTAACAGGGCTTGTTTTTGGTTCATAATTGCACTTAACATAATTTTAACATTTTTATTAAAAAAAAATATTGGCTTTTTTATTGGAATTATATCTATTTGCCAAGTTTTATTGCAATCGGGTAACGGAACGTGTGCGAAACCGGATTCATCCCCTAGTTTGCCATCCGTAGAAGTAGAATATTTTCTTTAAATTTAAATGGGACCTATACTGAGGTACCCTCTTTTCAACAGGAAAATAATCAAAATTGGTTCACAAATGTCGGAATGATCGCGTAACATACACACATAAAAAATACAGTCGAATTAAGAACTTCCTCCTTTCGAAGTCGGTTAACAAAGTTGCTCAAAAACGCGTGCTCTACCACCAAGAAATCTACGCGATCATCCGTCGCGAACATTGTAAACTTCCAGTAAGGTAAGGAAAACAGAATATGAGCTTTCAATGTAAACTCCCTTCATCTGCTACTGGATCAATTTGAGTTTAATCATTGCACTTGTAATGAACTCAAGCTGATTTGACAGTGTCAACTCTTCTATTGCAGTGATGTCGTTTTGCAGCTTCACGCTATCCTTAGATCTTTCTTCACCGATGTATAGTTAGAGTTCGTTCGCTAAAAGTAAAATTTGGAATTCCATCTATCTCAAGAGACTATACCCTGATAAAATATAGTGAGACTCATAGATATAGATTCCTATATCTATGGTGAGGCTTCAAGAGATAGTCAATGATGTGTCAAGTTGAAAGGCCTACTAGATTGAACTATGTTTTACCTTGTAATTAATTTTATTGGATGTCAGTATGTTATACATACTCCACTAGTTTGTTATAATTATTATTAATACAAAGATTGAACCAGCGCCTTTAAGCAATCCTTCCTACAGGAAGGATTGCTTAATGGCGCTGGTTCAATCAACGCTCCTCTCAACTTTGCTATGGAACGAACCACCAAAAATTACAAATTTTTCTATGCACTTGTAAGCAGATCGTTGTTTTTGGTTTTTAACTACTTTTTTGCCTCTGTGAGAAATCTGTAATAAAGAAATATGTTTACCTTGTTAATAATGCCCCCGCTCTCGGCGACGCCCTCCGCGCCGATCATAACGATGTCCACTTGCTCCATGATGTACCCCACGGCTGAGTCCAGGATCTGCGTCGAGTCCACGCCGGCCGCTTGCAGCTGCTTATGCATTAGTACACTGCAATGGCAAACTTCCATATAATGAAGTTCACGTGAAGTGTTATGCCTTATATTTTATCATTAAAACTGAAACACAGACTTAAATATTTATACAATCCAAATTTCAATTCTTAAAGTTCGCGCCATACCTACCTGTCACTGTTTAGTATTGACTACGAAAAAACGACTTATCTTTTTTATTTTTTATTGTCATATTATCAAGTTACTAGTAAGTATAATCTAAGAGTTTCCCACATAACTTACCCGCTATTATCTGGAGCTGACATTGTGACATAGACCTCAAATCTCTTATTTGCTTTAGCTGCCTCCAACATTGCTTGTAAAACAACTCTCGACCTAGAGTGTGTTAAAATTTTCTGCAAATGTATATTATATGAATTTTATTTTAGCTATGCAACTTGCATGTTCAATACAACAAACTACAATTTCCATCTTGGTTAAGCTGGGTTTTCACTAAACGAGTGCTCTCGGACCGAGTGCGCTCATACGAGTTAAATCGTATAGGAGTCTGCTTAGAGTTTAGTTTACACCATTGAGTTAATCAGCGTCCAAGTAGCATTCGTCTCCTTGCACAGTCAAGATGATGTCAACTGATTTGCTGCTGAGATATATGAGTTGTAGCAGGTATGGTAGTGGGTGGAAAAAACAAAGCAAGAGAAAAGTTTTTACCAGAAAATGGATTCTAAGACGTGTCTGAGTGCTTCAAATAATTTTATTCGAGAAGTGGAAGAGAAAGATAAAAACTCGTTTAGAAGCTAATAGAGTCATGTTAATTAAATTTTTTCTTAGTTGGCACCATTTTGTTTTTATAAAATGATCCGAGTAGACACGGAAAAATAGAGCTGCATCCAAGTCCACACTGATCAGATGGCGACGTCCGAGTGTGCTCAGATCACGTATTTATACGTTACGAGTAGCGTCCGAGCAGCCATACGAGTAAACTCGAGTCTGAGCGTACTCGTATAGTGAAAACTTTTCATTTTTATAAGAGTGTATACTGTACGCTAGTTTTTTATTAGTACAATACACAATATTGCAAAAAACGTTATTTTACAATTTTTCTGACCTGATTTTTTTTCAGTTTTGTCTCTATTTTTTGTAATATTTAGTTACTGATAAATCAATTTATAACAGCTTACACATCCGTCACTAATAAAAGGAAGCGCCTGTTTAGCAACCTTCCCTCTTGCTTCCAATAGTGCCTCTAAGAAAGTCCTTCCACGCTGCAGCATCACTTGTTCACAGTCTTCATAACCCTAGAAATTCATCAAGACAGTTGTATGTGCTACTTTTAAAAAAGCGGAGCCAGGCTCATTAAATCATTAATTATAAACAGAACAGCAATTTTCTTACTTTTGTACTTGAGTACAAAAATCGAAAACTTTGAAGTGAGTTCCAAAACCATATTAAATTGGCATATGGGAGTTTTCGACCTGTCATAATAAAATGCACTTGCTAAGTTTTACTCGCAATACCTGGTCTGATAGGATATGTGAACAATGTGCATATTATTATATCTCACATTTTATTATTTATTTATTACATAACACAACATTTATAATAATTGTATGTATTTCAATATGAGTGTAAAAATGGTCTTATTTATAGAATAAAATAATGTCCCATGACAGTAATATTTTTAAACAATGTCAATATGTGCATTAAGATTAAATTCAATAGAATTAATTTAATTTCAAAATAGTTCATTATTAAGGCTACAGCTGCAATGTATATACACTCTGGATATAACAGAATATGTACACTATCATTATAGTATGCATGGAACATCGCAAGTTTAAAAATATTCAAATAAGATTATTATATCAAGGAAATCTTTTGAATTTAAAAAAGTTGCATATTGCATTCAATTCAATTTACAACTTTACTACAATTGGCTAAGTTCATTACCTTGTCATCAAGCTTGGCAAGTGTGATAAACCTCATGAAGAGTTCACATCCTGAGGCGATGGCAGTGACAGGCTGGTCACAGTGCCGCATTGCCTCAACTGCTTTTTTTAGGTTTATGTTCAGCTCTCTTATTGTAACGACTGGACAAAAAAAAATTTGAATCTTTATTGCAACAGAAATATATAAAATAGTCAAATTTGCAAACTTCATAATTCTTTGTGGAAACTGATCTCTTTTTTACTCTACAAGTGCAATAGTGCGCAATTAAGGCTTAAAAATATACATAGACCAAAGATATATATGACTATAAAATTATTTCTAGTAAGTCTATCTTTTGTGCACACTCAAAAGTTCACATTAATACAAGGTTTAATACATAGGTACAAGGTTTGCAAATTTAACTGACTTAATACAGAATAAGTCACTATAGTTGTTGAATAGGCCACTAAAGTTGTTGTGTCCAATTTTAGGACAATTTTAGTGGCCTTGCAGCACGAATATATAGCTCTAGATGAGGAAGTCTTGCATTCAATAAAAGGTAGGACCAATTTAGAAACAATTTTTTCTAAATTGGGCCAGGTCTGGGTGTTTTGGATAGTGCTCCCCAAGCATTATGGAGCCAAGGCAGACAGCATTGAAGAACCGATGGAATTTACTGGCTGTGCCAGGTATTATGTCTTCTGGCTGTGGCGTGTGCCTTCCCAGTATGGAGCTTTGGGTGTAGCATTGTCGGCTGTCAGAGTTGATAAGATGAACAGGAGTGTCATCTGCCTTGTGGCAGAATCTACTCTCTATTCTCTCTCTGCCTAATATTTCTTCTTCTTCGTTTTATTTATTGTGGTGCCCTCTTAGGAGCCCAATATTTGACATGTGCTTTTTCAAGCCACTATATAGTTAAACTTAGGATGTTGGGCATGTTACTTTTGTTGTTTACCTTTGTAGTTTTGTATCACAGTCAACAGAGTTTTGATAGCAGCAATGGCTGCAGATATATCCTCCTCTTCTCTGAGAGTCTTTAAGAAAATTTCTTGCACCTCTGTAAAGCAATAATAAAGAAATAGAGAAATATGATGAAATTAAATTTGCGATTATGAAGTTTATAGATAAATATAAAAGTAAAGAACAACCTTCAGCTTGCATATTTTCAGGGCGTTGTTTCGAACCTTTTTAATAAATCATAAAATGTTTTATTCAGCAAAAGTATACTTTATATCCTTTTCAGTTCCCAAATTAAACAAAATAATCAACAAAATAACCTCACTATCACAAACCACTTATTACCACCTAAAAGGAATGGACGTTACAAATAGTTATTGAAACTATATATTGTGGCAATATCGAATATCCGATATCATGTAACTTAGAAACTATATATCGATATTGCTCCGCATCGCGTATTTTATAGCGATGCCGAATCAAGCCGAGCGATTACCGAGGGATACTAGTGGTTTTTGACCAATACGAAATCATATATTTTCCAAACTATATACCGACGTTGCTTCGTATCAGATATTCACTGAGTGGATATCAACGCAAAACCATTTTTTGTGCGTCTGCGAAACTGTATATTAACATTGGCCCGCATTGCACTTGTAAAACTATATCCAATGATATATGGTTTCGAAATCTGATTCCGAATATTAGTAACGGCAATGTATCAACGCAGCGCGCACGCAGGCTGTATCCATGAATATATAGTTTTAGAAAATATGCAGTTTCGAAATTCGATTGCGAATATTGATATATATAGTTTCGACACGATATTCAGAAAAAGCTATATTACCCATTCCTACCACCTAATCACTTTTCGTTAGACGTAAGAAATGTCAGAATAGTTGATGTCAGTGACAGCACTTATTGATGCATTCATAATTTTTAAATAAAATCCGCTGCTTACCGTGTCGCGTTTCAAATAAACCTTTTCAGTAGATTTGTCCAGTATTTTAGTTCCTAACCATCCATTGGGACCACACAACGAGTATATAACCAGAAACCACATTTCGACTGCTTAGTGGAGTGATTGACGTTTAAAAAGTGAAAAGGTTTATTTTTAATATTTGTATTGTGTACGTAAATTTGCTCCCAAACCAAAACATTTTGTGATTTACTAACATTTGATTGGCCAGCTCAATAATAAATAGTTAATTGTACATATTGTTATTATTTATACTCTTTAATAAAATGGAAAATAAATGTTCAATTCTTTGTATTTCATTCATTACTAAATATAATTTCGCCTGTGTCTTTATAGCATAGAATGTAAGAAAATGGTTCTACCATATTTTAATTAATTTAAGCCTGACTGACTTCAAAAAAGGAGGTTCTCAATTAGACTGTATTTTTTGTATTATGTTACACGATAACTCTTTTATTGCATTTGTAAACGGATTTTGATGATTCTTTTTGTGTAGGAAAGAGGGTACCTCAGTATTGGTACCATTTAAATTTAAAGAAAATATTCCACCTTTAAGGGTGACAAACTAGGGGATGAATCCGGTTTCGCGCACTTTCTGGTAACCGATTTCAATGAAGCTTGGCAAATAGATGTAATTCCACGACTTTTTGATGTTGGTTTTTTTAGTACTCTGTCCTGAGATTATTAAAGTAAACTAAAGTAAATTTTAATCATCATTATGATTATCGACAGACATACCTATGGTCAGATATTTTTATGACACCGTGTATGAGCGATATTGATCACTTTTGACTACCAGTTTACAACAAATGACTGGTCAATTAATGTTTAAACAGAGATTAATTAAACTTGAATAGATAAGAAACAAAATTACCATTTGTAACGAGACTTACGATCTCTTTCAATGTTTGTTTGATTTAATGGTAGAGGCATGTTGTGAAACAGACATTTCGTAATTGGAACTGCAGCATAAAGTGAATACAAGAGCATGTTGCTATCGAGACGGCGCATAATCCTTTGTATTAAGTTTTAAATTCGCTTAAATCAACGGATTGGATTGTCTTTTACTAAACCAGTTTCGTAAAAAGCGACGTTCATAAAATTTCTTGTATATAAGTATTTTTGATTCCGTAAAAAAGTGTGAGTATCCACACTCATAAATAAGGTGTGTAAGGTACTTGTTACAGCACCTATCTATGTACATCACAGGCTACGGTTTTATGTATTTATTCTCTAGAAATTAATATTACGATTTATAGTGACCGAAAGTTTACATCAGCTAAAGTACAGAACTGGGCGTGTTTTGTAAATAAACTTTGCTAATATGGAACATGTTTTTAAAATACATTCAAAGTACCAGGTACAGTCATCTTCATGTTAGTGTAAAGTTATATTTGCTTCACAGAAGTATTAAAGAACAATTGCATTTGACGGTAGGTACGTACGTCGGAAGTTAAGTGAGCTGGTGAGGGAAAGTCACGGCCACCTTTGCCTTTACAGTCTACAGGTGGTGTCTAGTGGTGCGTATGTACACCGACTAGTGTACGAATGACTAAGCCCCTTATTTGTCGTGTCTTAGCGTAGTTACCTCGAGCGTAGATTGTTTTTGTTTTTAAAAGTGATATAATAAGTGATAAGCCGACAATCAATATGGGAAACTCCGCATCTATAAAGATGAACGACAAAAGAAAATGGAAGTAAGTAAAATTTTGTTTTACGGTTTTAGTGATACATTAAAAATAACTTTATTGATTTATACTAACTTTCTTACCTATTTAATAATTTACGACTAGCGGGCGATTTAATGATACCCAGAAATAATATATAACATCTAGTTTTTCGATACAAAGTTTTGTGGTAGTTCATAAATATTTTTATTTATAGATAATAATTCCACAAAAAGATGATTGCGACGAATATACTTGTTATACAGTATATTTATTTAAGTTTCCTGAAATACTTTACTAACGATGAATTACTAATTGTGGGTATCGTTGATCTCATATTCATCTTATCATATCAATGACATAAGTGTACACAGTTGTGTTATCGAAGCCCAGAACTTAGCCACGGTCACCACGGTACTAGCAGCCACCCTTCAATCCTCAAGGTGCAGGCATTTAGGTTTAGTAGCAGTAGAGCTTCTTGTGTAAGAGTTCTTCCGGGGAAATACTGCCAACATATTTCTGCCACCAAGAAGTAATGAGAACACTACTGCGTTCCGATTTTAAAATGTAAGGGTGCTGGTGAAATTACAGGCACATGGGACTTGTGAACTTACGTCTCAGGGTGACAGGCACAGTGGTAGTTTCCCTAAGATCTTCACGATCTAACACTCTGAATGGCACTGCAACTGCTATGAACAGGCATGTCGCTTAGCATCAAGCACAGGACTTGTTCATCCCGTGACTTAGTTTAATAAAAAAAGGTGTTAGGGCAGGCAGGCCCGAGGGAGCCCATACTTAGCAGTTTGATTCATTTACGTCTAAGTAAGTAAGTTTTTCAAAACGAGTTAGCTCGCGTAAGGTCATGTGTTTATGAGGGTATTCATTACCTACCTGATTCTTTGTTCCGTCCGACTGTTGTAAAAGGTGTTAAGTGTTATCCAGGAAGGCAAATGCAATTATTAAAGAACATTTCTCATTGAAGCGTCATATTCGTCTTTTCAAACAATAGGTCGTCAATACTTACACACAGACATCTATAGGTACTTGCTCATACTCATCGTCATCATGCTAAACATTTAGTTAGGTAAGTAAATGTGTATGCATTCTTTGAATTTATGTAAGCAATATCAATGGTCTCCTTCCGAGGGAAAAATGACGCCAAAATTAACTTGCATAGCCGACGCAGATTCGTATTGTGGGACTTCATGTACAGCCGAGTGCCAAATTTCAGTATTTAATACCAGCATTTGGCTGCCATCACCTTTTATCTAGCTATTGTGTTTAGCACCTCCCTCCTGTATCATATACTCGCCGAAGTGTCTCGTATTCTTTGGGCACCCAGACACAGAGGCATGCCAAATTTCAGCTGATGTTATTTAAATTTTTGCAAACTGAAAATGGTTTATTTAATTTCGTTCTCAATATACATATTAATAATTACCTTTACACTTTTTGCCCGAAGAACTCTGAAGAATGGTAATGTTAAAAAAAATGTGTAGAATACAAAATAATACTTTTATTTTCACAAAAAACACGTTTCTAATGTAATGTCTTTCTTAATCTAAGTTACCGGTTTTTTAAATGCATCGACCTAATAATAAAAAGTTAGTAAGGCAGGTAAGAAACTAAGTATATATTTGTGGAAAACTGATACTAGCACGTAAGCGATTGGGCAACTAGAGTAACCGTAGTTAATTTACTGGTAAGTATAGTGCGTATATACCAATGAACTGTATAAATTGTAAGCAGGTACATGGCAGGTACTATACTTGTTATAACTAAGAGAATACGTACCGTTACTTGAAATTATAAAAAAAAGTACACACGCCAGCACATCAAGCTAAACATTGACGTATCTTGTTCCGTTGCAATGGAGGCGATTTTCGAATAAAAATGTGTAGTCTGGTGTGGCGTTGTCCGTACATTCATTGTCGTATATTAATTGTAAGTGCAATGGCTTCAAATAGTTTACCTAAACAACGCACTCCGTGTAACAAACATGCAAGCAGGTGGATGTGATGAATATAACGTGTATGTATTAAACCAACGATAAATTGAGCTTTGTAACGAACGACACTTTGCTACATAAAGGAAATAGACCGAGATGATTCCTTGGCCTAGTGTTTCGTATTTTGCAACCGCGAAGGCCATTTTGGCTTACAGCACATTTAGACTACGGTGCGTTATTGTGGTTTTAATTTTCATAATATAAACCATTACGGTTTGTAATCTAGGTAGGTTAATTGTACTAAGGGTCAATGTTTTGTTTTTTGACAAATTCGGTGGCCCAACATATATTTCGTAGCAGTAGAGCTCCTTGTGAAAGAGTTCGTCCAGGGAAGTACTGCCACCTTACCCATTTCTGCCGCCAAGAAGTAATGTCAGCATTACTGTGTTCCGTAATGTAAGTAAGGGTGCTGGTGAAATTACAGGCACATGAGACTTGTCAGCTTATGTCTCAGGGTGATGGGCGTAGTGGCAGTGCCATTCAGATCTTTGCGATTTAAAGCTCTCGAGTGGCACTGCAACTCTTTGTTATGGCCTATAATTATTTCTCTCGTGAGTTTGGGTGTAATTTGTGGTTGTCTATATGTGTGTCCATGGCACCCGCGACACAGGGTTTCTCTAGTGCGGGGCTATGTTGAGTGTGTGCGTTATTTATTATTTATTTAACTGTTATGGACAGGCGTGTAGCTTACCATCAGGCGCACGACTTGTCCGTCCCGTCATTTGATATTATAAAAAAAAGTTGGGTCATCGAGTACGCATACGTTCTCATAGTACAGGGAATTCCCTAGTTTGATGCCAGGTAATGGACGTGCCTGTCTGCCATATTATTATTATTAACTCTGACATATGTCAAATACACGAGATAAGGATTGGTAAAAAAGAATCAAATAATCTTTTTACTTATTGTCAACATGCACAGTACGTGTATAACTTTACAAAAATTGAAAAATTTTATTCGTAAATTACTCTTTATTCGTAAATTAAACAGGGTTAAATAGTAACGAGTGTACGCAATTTCACAGTAGGTTAAACTGGGTAGGTATGTGAGTAAGTATACGTAATACTTGTAGCGTAAAAAGAACAATGTTAGTAAATTACCACTTGTATAACAGTGCGTAAATAAACGTAGTCAGACAGTTAATAACTGCCATAATTCCTCATCAAAGTTAACAATTTCAAACAATAGCCAATTCTGAGTCGTAGGATATTAAATATGGGACACATTATAGTAACATATTTTGTTATATTGACGACCTCGGTAGCCCCATGGTTTGCACTGTGGCCACTGGACGAGGGCGACTGGACGTCCGGTGTCTCTTCTGTCTTGGTTTGATTCCCGGTATTTCGTTGTTCTGGTACTCATAATCACATTGCTAGCTAACTGATTCAGGCGCCAGTCTCTGCAAAGATTGTTACCTATAACGTATCCCAAAATAATGTATGTACTCAGTGTAAACTTTGTGGAGAAAGAGTAAGTAAGAGAGAAGAGTAGTGGACTAAAACAGGCTAATATCGATACCCTAGGTAGGTAAGATGTAAAAACCCATAAATCTGTTTTCTATTTGCATCACGACTCCATAAAAATCGATGAGTGTATCCAGAACAAAGACGTCTGAAATTAGTCTTTAGCCATAAAAAAATATAATTTAGCAGCGCTGGTTCATCATTTCCGTAGGTGTCTTTCTTAGGTTTCTTTGTGTCATGACATTCCGGAGTAATGTGTTGAAATTTATCAATTCAAAATGTAAAAGAGCACGACAAAGGTACGTAACATTGTATGTAACAAAATGTTAACGTAGCATGACGTATCCCTTCAAAACAGAAAAAAATACTCAGGAATTGCACGGTGGGTGTCTATACACAATGAATTTTTGTATTCTGTTATTGGGTTATCTTAGAAAAGTTGCAATTATCGATATCCTTATAAACTTATTTAAAATCTATTAAGATTTTAAATAAGTAGTAATAAATAAGTAGTAAGTAATAATTAATTAAGTAATTAATTTATTACTTCCAAAAGAAAGGACAGAAGATACAAATTACATATTTTCATTCCTACTTAAAAATTACATTTAGGAAAAATTACCTACATTATAATGAACAAGTGCCAAGAAATGGTGTTATTCAGCTGCAGTCTATAAGAAGAACTTCTTATTATGTTTACGTTGTCACAATTCGTCATTTACTTTTATTATGTAAGAAAACACAATAACATAAATTATGACATTCACTCAAATTCATCTCGCAATACGCAAACAACGCGAGAACAATAAAAATCTTAATAATTTAATTAATTTTAGAGTTATTAGATTTCCCGTCAATTCTACACGATGATTAACGGGTTTGCAATTGTGTCAGCTTCAGTAATTAAAATTATTTTTTAAGTAAATATCAAAAATCTACATAAAAGAGAAGCGTTTAAAAAAAATATTGGACACATTGAAATTTTGAAAACCGATTGTGATAAAACTTGTGATCCAAAAACTGCTACAAAAGGGGTAGATTTATTTTGTTCTGGTTAGCTACTGAATTGGGTATATAATTAATAATTATTTCCAAACAAAGGTTTCTGAAAAACTTTTATCTTGCACTGCATTTGGAAAAAAGAGCCATGGCTGGTATAATTTTACAACTGCCTCTGAGGCCGAATTGTAACCATGCTGGCCTACCACGTAGAATTTGATTCCCGGCCCGGGATAAATATTTGTATGGCCTACATTTATTTTTTGTAGTTACTTACTTCAGTGTGGGTGTAATTTGTGATTGTGTGTCCATGGCATCGGCTTGCGTATTTAGTAGTGCGGAGCTTAAAAAAATTAACCTGTAAATTAGTTACTAAGTAAAACTCTACTGGATACTTTTTACTACGTTTCCTTCATGCTCCTTGATATACTCTATGTATGTTCACTTTAAAATCAACAAAAGGACGTACATTTTATGCCATGTCATTGCTAGTCATCAATCTTGTAAATAATGGTGAAATCATCTATAAATTTATGTTGACTTTTTATGATGCTCAT